GAATGATTAATCAATTAGTTGTTTAAAATTTTTTCAAATTAACTAGTTGGAAAGTTGGCAACTAGTTGATTTTTCAATTAACGATTTGGAACACTACCTATATATAAAACAAACACTTATATTCCTTTAATTATTATCGTTACATTACTGAACTGACTGTCCGTTTTAGCGATTAAAAAAAAAAATTTAAAAACTAAAAAGGTAGTTTGAGACTATTTGATAATTAATAACAAAAAAAACAACCCATATCTCAAACTAATTTAATCCTGATCATAAAATTTTGATTAGAATAATTAAAATTTAACTTCAATTTTATTTATTTTATCACTATTACTTGACTAAACAAGAAAAAGCAGCAACTTAAAGCTGCTAGGGCCAAGAAGCATGCAAAGAAACCACAAGAACAATTAGATTATAAGGATCTAGTTTGGTCAGATCAGGACATTGATAAAAGAGCATCTGATTATTTTTCTGTTTTATTAATGGCTGGTAAAAACATAAAGATTTGGAAACCGTTAGGTAGGCCTTCAATATACATTTGAGGTACTAAAAGAACTCAAAGATGCAAAAGAGCAGAGCTAAAGAAGGCTGCACAAAATACCCAATCCATCACAGCCTACTTAGCCTCTTCTTTAATATATTCTAATATTTTTTGGCTTTGACTTCTACTTTCGAATCATCAACAGAATCACGTACTTTAATGAAAGTGGAATCTATAGAAGTAGAATCGATGGAATTTGACTCAATAGAAGTAGACTCAATAGAAGTGGACTCAATAGAAGTAGAAACAACAGAAATAGAATTAATAGAGGTGAGATCAACAACAGACATATTAGCAGAAATAGATATTGATAAGAGGATAAAAATGAGGTTGGCAATTAAGAAGTTAGATGGGATATTAAAAAAGGATGATAATCAAATAGATAAAGGTATAAGAGTTCGTTTGTAAGCATTATTACAATATTTACAGTTAAGATACCAGGGTCAGACTAGAATAAGTGCAAGCACAACAATTGCTAGTTTATTAGGATGGGGCAATTATAAAGCACAATGTATTGATGTATAGGCTCAAAATTGAATAAAGTGGCAAAAACTTTCAAAAGATAACCATGGTAAATTTGCGAAGGTATCATCAAGCCTTCTTGATAATGAAAAAATATCTATAAAGGTATACATTTTTTTTTTATAACAATTTTGGCTATAATTTTTAATTTTTTGGTATAATTCACAATTATCTCACTTTGAACAGATAATGTCATATTTAAGAAGTCACAAGTTTAATATAATCCTAAAGTTTTAAAAAACTACGTTGAGAATGAAGTATTTCTGTCTTTAGATATTGAAACAAAGACAACTATATATAAAAAAACAGCTTGGATATGGCTTAGAAAACTGGAATGACAATGTAAAGAATGGAGAAAGGATATCTATATAGATAGACACAAGTGAGAGGATATAGTGCAATATAGGCAAACGGGTTTTTTGCTGATGATGAAAGAATTAGAACTCATTCTTCTTGAATATTGTGATGAAGATCTTACTATACTATTAGAGAATGATATTTCTCTTGGAGAAAAGTGACATTGTGTAATAACACATGATGAGATAACATTGTCTGCAAATAATGATGAAAAAATAGGCTGGGGGTCTGAAGGTATATATATTAGAGACCATTAAAGATTGAATTTATTTTTTATTTGCTAGCTAACTAACCTTATACCACTTTAATTATTAATAGGTGAACACAAACTGTGTCTAAAAGGACAAGGCAGGGGTATTCATGTTAGTAAATTTTTATATGAACCACTAGGTCGAGTTCATCTAACTGAAAAACAACATACAGCCCATCCTGAAATTCCAAAACATTACGTTACAGAGTTGTTAGAAATTAGCGTAAACTATGAAGATTATTAGAATGTTAAATTACTAGCCAAGCAATTTAAACTAACAATTAATATTTTAGAAATTGCACTTCTGGATATGATATTTGTCTTTGGATTCGATAACAGTACCAACCATAGAGCCTTAGCCAAGGATGCATTAATAGCAAGAAAGTTGAATGTTGGCTATGATGGTATATAACCGAAACTATGTCCTAGTCGATTTTCTGATAGTACACCTCAAGAGATAATCTTTCTGTTAAATCACCAAGACAAAAAAAAAAGAGGACAACTAAAGAGAATTAAGGAAGTAATGATAGAAAAAAGAATATGGAATAAGCGATTAAGAGGCAAATATGTTAAATGCTCAAAAGATGATGAGAAAATATGTTGCAACATGAAAAAATTGGCGAGACAACCAGACTTCATGAAACAGAAAAGTATTCTTGAGAAAATTGTGCTCGAACGAGGTCATAAAATTTTTTTTATCCTAAATTCCATCTAGAATTGAATTATATTGAATATTATTGGGGGGCGATAAAAAGATATATAAGAAAAACTGTACCAGAAGCTCTTGATTCCGTTAACATTATAAGATTAGAAAGTTTGCAAAGAAAGCATGAAGATATATAGATGCATATAGAAAAGGTTTAACCCCTTCTGCTGCTGAATTTGCAGTAAAAAAATATAAATCGCATCGAAGAATTCCTGAGAATATTGAATTGTAATAGCTGCATAACAATAATAAATAAATTGCAATTATAATGCATATTGTAAAAATCTTATTTATGTGTTTAATTATTTATTTCAATTATTTAATTATTAATTAGTTTTAAAATTTCAAATTTAACATGTGAATCATTAAATCAATTTCTTATTTGGTGCATATATATTTATTAATTGAACAATAAAATTATCAAGTTGCATAAATGTAAATTTTGGGTAGTAAGCAAGATATATGGAATGATCCAAAACACAAAAACAAATAAATACCCAATAGTATTTGATTTCGTATTATTTCACCAACAATCACTTCATAGATACCACATTTCACTGACAATTATTCATCGACAAGTTCATTTTACTGACAGTCTATTATACTGAAATTTATTTTACCAACAAGCTAATTCTAACCTAATTCTAATAATATTAACCAGAATTACTTTGTCTATAAAATGAGCTTTGGTGAAATAAACTGTCAGTCAATAAACTTGTCAGTAAATAATTGTTAGTGAAATGTGTCTACAAAGTGATTGTTAGTAAGTTGATCAGATCTTAACATTTTCAATATTATGTCTCTATTTTCAAAGTATTGACATAGTGAAAGTTTGCACAAATATATCCTGCACCATGTGTTAAATATAAATCTCATAAAGTATCTATAAGCTGTTTTAAGAATTTAGTCTGCTCAATAAGGTCTTGAAAATTTTTTTAAAAAACTTATATTATTTCATATTAAACTACTATGGGATCTAATCAACTCACCAACAATCACTTTGTAGGCACCACATTTCATTAACAATTATTTACTAGTAAGTTCATTTTTCTGACAGTTTATTTCACCAAAGCTAATTTTATAGACAAAGTAATTCTGGTCAATATCTTTAGGGTTAGGTTAGAATTAGCTTGTTGGTAAAATGAATTTTAGTAAAATAGACTGTTGGTAAAATGAACTTGTTAATGAATAATTGTCAGTGAAATGTGATATCTATGAAGTGATTGTTGGTGAAATAATATGGAATCAATTTAAAGATTTCAATAAATTTAAAAGTCACTAATTGAAAATAGTAATTTAGAATCTCATTCTCCACCACCATCATCATGTATCACATCTTCTGCAACTGCTATAAAGACATTTAGACAGCCATCAATAGGAATCAGCAGATAATCTGCCTGATTCCTATTAACAGCAGCCATTTATTTAAAATTGCACTATATTTAAATCAAAGTTTTCCTGAAAAATTGCACTTAATTGAAATTGATTATTTTTTAACTTACACAGATTTTATCTGAGTAACCTGATATATTTTTTATTTGTACTGCCTGTAAACAAGCAATTGTTAAAAAAAGAATAATTATATATATATGCATATTATATATACATATATACGCAAATATAGAATCAGATACCAATGTATATAAATAGAATATGGCTTTAATATAAATGATTATAAGGTAACTAGAGGTCTAAATCATTATTATATTTGGTAAATTATTATATTAAATATAGTAGCCAAATTCTGCTATTAATATTAAAATGTAACAACTTTAATAGTAAATAAATTCAGATCTGATATGTTTAAGTAAAAAATCTTTTTGTAATATTGTAGTACTAGTTCTATAATATCATTTTACAAGAAGACTTTTTTAAAAATTTTTTTTTGTTAATTATAAACAAATTTAAAAGATATATATAAATAAGTCACATGACGTCAATTTAAAATTATATGCACCATATAAGTTATATATCAATACAACTATAATAATTATTTTATGAATTTAATAAATTATGAAAGAAGTTTGATGTGACTTCTTCTCCAAATTGTAGTGACTGAATTTTTTGCAATGTGGTGTTTGATTGTTTTTTCTTTGGGTTCGCACTTTCTTAAAACCCAACTTCAAATCTTCATGTTCAATTTTATCTGAAGCTTAGCGAAGTTTAGATTCTTTTAGGGATAAAGACATATTAGTGTAAGTTTTTAGGTTGAGCTTGTAAAAAAGTCCCTCGACTTGTTGCTAGTGAATGACGATAAAATAAATTTAAGTTTGGACAAAGTTGTAAAGTTTAGGAAATTTATATAATTTCGAATTATCAGCATGACAAAAATTTTTAACTTTTCATAAACGTTATTATCTTGTAATATTAAAGTATACAAGCTGAAATAATTTGTATTCTCATTATCAATATCATTCTTCAATTTATTTGTATACTTTAATTCCAAATCTGAAGGTAATTTAGTCAAATCATTTTTAAGATCACAAATCGAAAGCTTTTTGCAAATAACTGAGCATGATCTCCTTCAAGTTGACAAATAACAATAGGTAAATGTAGCTACTGGTCCATCTATTTTTTGAAGCATTCATATGCTTTATTTATTCCATTTTCTAAATTATTAAACATTTGCTCAAATTTGTTACTCGGCAATATGTCAACAGCTTCCAATTACTCATCAGAAAAAATATTTCAAAGTTATTTTTAATGTTTTTAAGATATTCTTTCCATTCATAAACCTTATCCAGTAATTCGTGTGCTCTTCTACCATGTGGTAATTGAACTAATTTACCATCTTGTAATATATAAGGAACAGGATTTTGAGTAACTGAAAATTGAACTAACGATTCATAAAAATACTCAGCAAATTTCACCAGATATTTTATTTGAATATTAAGTATTGGGTTCATTATCCATGATTTAAAAAGATTCCAGTCTTTAAGATATGATTTTGGTGTTTTTTGATAAGTTTCTAATTGTTGAACAAACCATTGTGTAAATTGTTTATAAGCTTCATAACAATCGAGATACTGTTTTGTGATTCATAACTCATATCTCCAATGTGATCAAAGGGGTAACTGATAGTCAGTATAATGAAACTCTAACAATTTCTTATATAAATTTTTGATTATCTCAGCAATAATGTTAAGAGGCTTATCTCTACAACTGGAATTATATCTATTATGTAAACTCCAAGCCAAATACAAAAGATTTTAAGAATGTAAAATTTAAGAAAACCCAGTAGTATTTGAAAGATTTCCAAAGACATTTTGTTCAAAATAATTAAGAAGAATCTGTATAATGTGAAGTATACAGCCAATTCTAAATGTATTTGTACCAGTTTTTTTGTTAAAAAGAGCAATAGCACCATTTTTGTTTGATAACATATATGCAGTGTTATCTGTAGTTCATAAGATGCATTTTATAACATCAAGACCTTCTTTTTAAATCGATTCAATAACAGAATTAAATACCATTTTACTATTATACTTAAAAATATTTTTAAGATATACTATTGTTAAAATAGGAGTTTGTTTTTGCTTGTTCTAAGCTTGATAACAAATAACCAAATTGTTTATTTCACCACGAGTTGATTTGTCAACCATAATACCAAAGGCTGAAGCTTGTGCAATTTGAGAAATTTGTGTTGTGACATAAAGTTCAGAGACATTTTGATACTAGGTATGTAAAATTGAGGCAGATATCTAATTTTGTGGAGATTTACCAGTTAAAAATTCATAGATAATTTTTGTACATTCTATTGTAAAATTCATTAACACTTTTCCAACTTGTACAATACTGCTTGCAAGCCAAACAGTTTTGGAGAAATATTCTCACTTATTTATTTTAAAAAGTGACTTGACCTTATTTTTAAATACTATATCTGATATCATTTGTAAATTTTGAACCAGAGAATAAATTTCTGTAATATGATGGGATTTTTGACATATAAATTTCTTGATTAAGCACCAAGTGATTGTGTTTTTTTAATTAATTTGTTAGTTTGACAATGAAACCTTTTGTTTTCAAGTGCAAGCATACTATTTGCATCTTGTAAAGATTATTTGTTAATTAGAGTTTATATAAACTATCATTAATATATTTATATGTTTTTTTTTTGAAGATACAGAGATAAAAGCTTGTCCTTATCAGGACCTTTTAAATAGTGCATAGTTGTAAGAAGATGTTTGTCGCAAGTATCTCTTTATTTAGAAATTTTTGTATTAAAGCAATTAGATGATTTCTCTGATGTTCTTCTTTTGTTACAACATTATTAGATAAAGATAACTCCTGACCCATTAGTTCTTTTGTTATAACATTACTAAATGAAGATAATTTCTGATTTGTAAGTTCTTCATTAGTTACAGAAGATAATAATAATTCCTGATTCGTAAGTTCTTCATTAGTTAAAGGAGATAATGATAATTCCTGATCTGTAAGTTCTTCATTAGTTACAGGTCCATTATTAGATAATGATAACTTCTGATCTGTAAGTTTCTTTGTTATAGCATTATCATTATTAAATAAAGATAATTTCTGATCCATAAGTTCTTTATTAGTTACAGATCCAGTATTTAAAAATTCAAGTAATATAGCAAGCTGCTCTTGATTAATATTAACTAACTGACTTGTTATTTGCTCAATAATTTTACTATGAGAAGTATTGTGACATTTCTCTAAGCTTTTTGAACACTTGTCAACTTTGATAACACTGTTTATACGATTTATAGATTCCCATTTTAGTAAATTTATTACTAAATTTAGATGTCGAGGTTAAAATTCATGTTATTTTGAGGCAATCAAATTTGATAAATTAGTAACTGACCTAAAAGAACAAAGTTATGATAAAAAATTTCATTTTCTAGTATAAAATTTCTTACCCGCAGTAAATATATCTCTTTTCTAAATAGTAAGCGAAATGAAGTGGATTTTTGTAGTAAAATAACTTTAAATTTAAATAACAATGTAAAAAAGTTTCAACGTAACTTTGTTACAAATGTGTTTAAGAATATATTTATGTTAAAATAATTGAAAAAGATAAAGTAGTTCACTCTACGCATCTAAAAATATAAGTGCAATTCTTTATTATTGTAATATATATAAAAAGTGATTTATAATCAGATCACTATTCCAATCATTAAATTCAAAAAAAAACCTTCAATAATTAATTTTTCTATGATACCGCATATAGTTTTGTCAAACATAGTTGACCGAATACCCCAATGTTTCACCAATCATTTGCTCCGACAGAACAAATTTTGTGATATTAATCATTGCATGATCCAATATCGATGTTATCATTAAGGATGTTAAATCGTTTGGCTGGAACTAGTTCTACTGAGTCAAAACTCAGACCGTTATGATTCAGACTGAACCAGCGGAACTAGTTCGTTTGTTACATGAAACACGTGATATATTACGTAGCTAGTTTTTCGTGTGTGACAACGTATTATGGAGTCCGTATTATTTCACTGACAATCATTCACCGACAGCTCATGTAAAAAAACCCCCCTAGCATGACCACCAAAATCAGTTACGTAATCGCCGTTTAAAATCTGAGATCTTGTAACCCAGCGCATT